TTGAGCCTCCCAGGTAAAGTCTACGCAAAGGTGTTAGAAAGGAGGTGCCGTGAAATAGTTGACGTCAAGGCACATGAAGAGCAGTGTGGCTTCCGGTCCGGTCGAAGCACTTCTGACCATATATTTGCCATGCGCCAGATTGTTGAGAAATCGTGGGAGTACACCCGTCCGGAGTACATGTGTTATGTTGACCAAAAAAACGCCTATGACCGGATCCAACGCAACAGTGCATAGTCAATCCTTTGAGCATGCGGGATAGATGGCCAGCTGCTAAGGGCCATCCACTCACTGCGTTCTGATAGCAGGTGCTACCTTAGAGTAAATGGCGTTAAGTCGGAGCGTTTCAACGTTGTCACTGGTCTCCGCATATTAAGCGCTCTGTCCCTTCTTCCGTTTGTGCTGCACATAAACAGAAGGCCATGGGCGGTGAGAGCATCAGCGCAGAGATGTCGAGACAAAAAGGCTGCTGTCTGCAGGCGACCTTGTTTAATTGGCATCTTCTAAAACCGATCAACAGTACTCCCCGGATGGGATCGATGCCGAGTGCGACGTGACCGGATTGCGCGTGAACGCATCTCCACGGAGAGGCAGCGGAACAGGTGAAGTTCAAGTACCTCGGAACTGTATTTACTAGTGACTGAAAATTTGAGGAGGCGGTCGATTGGCGAATTGGAATAACCATTGACATTGTTCGTGAACTAGCCAAGTCCATTGTGACTTAGCAGAGCTGAGTCTGAAAACTAAGTTGTCAGTGTTCAAGTGGATCTTTATCCCCATGTTTCCATTCGATCATGAGTCGTGAACCATGACTGAAAAGCTTCGAACCCGGGTATACGCTGCTGAAATGGGCTTTCTGAAACGATCTGCTGGCCCTACGAGTCTCGATTTGGTCCGGAATACAGAGATCAGTATAGAGCCGTGATTCTTCAGACGGAGGAGTCATAGCTGCGATGGTTTCTGAATGCCTCCAGAAACGAATTCTAAGGAACTGTTTCTTGCCCAACTGACCGGCAGAAGGACCACGGGACGGCCAAGATTAACCTGGTGCAAATATATGGAAAGAGTCGGCTGCAGACTGCGGCTGTCTTCTGCCGATGCTTAGACTCTGGCACAAGATCGTGAACGTTGGAAGCACTATGAGATGTGTCTGCCTCCGCGACCAGAAAGGAGAAGCGGCGATGAAAGATGAAGAATACGGAAATAAGTATTCAAAAAATGAAAGTAAAAAATATACAAAAAAGACTACGGAAAGAAAGCAAATCCGAATAGACTTTTCACCTGAACAAAGTATGTTTAATACGAAAAGTTAAAAACAGAAACGGAAGAGTAAACGTCATTTTATCGGGGTGCCGTCTGAACGACAGGTCGAAAGAAGGCATGCCAACGTAAACGTTCATCATGAACTCATGTGCTCTCCAAATCAAGCTACCACATAAAAACAGATATATAATTGTAGAATATTTCTTCCAGTACCCATTCTCCCAACCCATCTTCTCCGTTTCCTGCTGTCATATTCCGTCTTCAGCATCATCAAACGAAGAACAGGTTTAAATGGTGCATCAGTTCTGGATGCCAAGCTTAACCGAAGTAAATAATGGAAACTCCGTAGGATCGAACAATTAAGCGAACGACATTGGCTGAAACCTAGTTTTTCAACAATGTGAAACATGAACTTTATGAGAATAAGTATGGTCTTGATCTTACAGAAATGAAGGCCATTTTCAAATAAAATTTTCTGCAAAATTAATGAGATGATCATAGTGTGACGTGCCGAAAACAGGGCTGAAGATATTGAAGCACCGCGAAAAATTCCAAACTGAAACGTAACTTTAACTTCCATGAACAATCAGTGACGAGGCGAATGAGCATTCTGCAATTGCCAGGCTGGTTCCAACGGTCACGAATGTCACAAAGAAACTACCTCTGAATGTTCTCGAATATCAATCTGTACTGTCATTTCCAGCGGTCAGATATTACAGATCAAAAAGATTTTGCTGCATGAGTCCTCTTAGCCTAAAGAGATGATAACTACTTAACAACAGCAACCCAACACCTATCGCTATCAGTGATAAACCGGAAGTCAACTTAGAAAAAAGGACCACCCCACGTTGCAAAATGAGTGTTATGTTGATAATTGTGTGCAGCCAATGCGTCTTCTTATGTAAAAAACATTCGTCCATGTCTAGTGCTATGACTTCCCTCCCCCTCCCTCACCAGCCCCACCAGAAAACAATGCGAAGGCAAAACAGACCATTAGGCCCGGCCAGCTTCAACGCTACGGTAGCTACGCAATTCTACTATTATAGAGTAAGATACCTGAATTATGATACCAGATCGGCGGTACTCTTCCTGTATGCTTCTTGTAAAGTAGTAGACGAACGACTAAACCGTAAACAGCTAGTATACCTCACATGGATCTTTCAACTATTACCTTTGTAGCGCCGTACAATGACAGTAGGGGCGTAGGAAAATCACAAAGGGCAGAAGAAATGTTGATGATTGCTCCGCGACCCTTGCCAAGCATCTTTGGCAGAAAAATTCTGGTCATCTGTCATAAAAAATTTTGGTTTAAAAGAAAAAATATTGAAATATTAAATCACATAGCAAACCTGTGTGAGTGCATCGCAATTGACACGAATCATATGACGGGATATCTAAAAAGACATGAGCTTAACACCATTCATTACAGAACCACAGAGTGAGCCCACAAACTCACCGAAGCACCGTCTTCTAATTCGCTGAAGTATTCAGGATAGTTGTAGCTTATTCCGACGTTGTTGACTGAAAAATGAAAACACGTGGCAATCAGATTGGAAGAGAGCATTTACAAAGCGCAGAACCAATTAAGAAATCAAAGGCAGAATTTTGGATTCATTAAACGGAATGAAGTTTAAAGGCAAATTTGAAAGATGGAATAAGAAGCACATGCAGAGTATATATACTCATGCAATATTTCATTTATTACCCAGAGGCTATGGTGAAAAACATGCACAGATCAGTGATCTTTGAAAATTAATAGGCTATACTTGTTAGCTATTTAAAAGTAAACAGACTAATTTATCGGTTTTCATTTAATTTAAAGAATTTTTTGCCGCAGCTCGCTGAGCTGGCCTGTTTCGGTTAGAATACATCCTGTCAGCCGCTTGGAGATTTATCTAATGTGAGGATAAGGTGCACAGCTGCTTGGCCATAGAAATCTAGTTTTAAAAATCCTCTTCAATGACGGACTGGCTGTTTTATGGTCGTTTATTGACTGATCGTTTCTTCGTACGCTAGAACCTATTCGCCTTCATCATGTTAACCGCTATGTTTCTCACTAGTGAATTTCCTACGTGGTGCCGTCAAGGTCGTTTCATGGGAACACAACAGGTAGCAGTACACGGCAAATTTCATTTATTTTGTTTGAATCTCAGTTTCTGTTTCAAATTTCTTAATATGACACTAAATATTGCTTTGCATATTAACATGATGATACATACTGTTTAAGGCAGGTATTATTTGCAGACGCCATAGGTCAAAAAATATTATAATGCTTTAAAAGTTCTTTCGACAGTCATGTTTCCAGTTGAAGCGCCTACAGTCACTTTGATGTGCCATGAGTATCAAAGTGAATCGTTTTAATTTCAGTGCTTCTGCGAAGACGCGACAACGACGATTTCCATGGGCTATTGCACTATTTGCACCTCCCACATTCACAGTGGCGAATCCGTCATCTTCCACTTGCAGTTCTATAGAAAAGGTATCCTCATCTACAGTGTCGTGACTGTGATCCAGTGAAGTCGGTGAAAACACAGCCCCGGAGCCTACGTGGTTGAAGAATCAACCAAGCGCTTGTTTCATAGGTCTGGTTTTATATTTAGTTCGACAGACATTTTGCTACGAACAAAAAATCTCAAGTTCCGAAAGGTTTGTTTGATTTTAGACAGATTAGGCTGGTTTTCTGGTGAATTGGTGGGTCAACATCTGCCATTAACTTTTCGCATTCACAGACTACAGAAACGCCTGGACCAATTTTAATTAGCATGTTATATGTTGCACTAAAGCTTGGGAAACTGTTATTTTGAGCGTATCGCTGCCAAAAGGAGTGTAGCAGCACCTGTCTCGATACTCTGCTCCGACAATACCATGGTTTGTATCAAAGTTCGCAGCAGAAGGCATTATAGCCCCTCCAATGTTTCCCAAAGCTAACGAATGCTGTTCAAACTCGTACTCATTTTCCTTTTCCTTTTCGTCTGCTGTAAGGGTTGTTGGACGCTCGTAGTACCGTTTAATGTAGCTTCTAGCTATCGCTGGTTCCGTTCCTTTGAAACGGGTTCATCGTAACGTTAAATGTCAATAAGTGCTGTGGCTTCGTGATTATTCAGCTAAAAAATGGAAATACGAAGTGATGGGTTTGAGGAGCCAGGTTTCGAAACGCTGGACAATTTTAACTGCGACATTCACTGAAGGCGCTTCCGTTTCCATGGAGCAGTATTGATTTTATTGTTAATGGCAAAAATAATAAGCCGTTGCTTTCATATTTATTTCAATTTAGGGCCTACATTTAGGGTTCCTCGCAAACTACTTTGGTTATCATCTGGGTAAAAAACAGGAACTTAGCTGCTGCAATCAGAAAAGACAACTCCAAATATCAGTTTCAAGAAGCAATTACGCCTGACACCTTCGACAGGTCAAACTGATGATAATCACGCATGTTCTGTTTTTGTTCATAAAGATATGCAACGCTTCTTTGATCAGCAAATTCACCTTCCCTCTTTGGTGATCAACCGCAAGGACACTGGAGAGTGGACTCGTCCGATCGATTGCAATTTTCTAGGAAACGAGCAAAATGTTTCCGTTTCAGATAGTGATTCATGATAACTGCCTCACATTCGTTGTTATCCGACATAAATACGCTCATAATTAATAACCACAATAACCTTCATAGAGTAAACAATAACGTTACACTGCATACGAGGATAATGAACCAACTACAAATACAAAATCGACACCATGGTCCTTACAGAAACACTCACGGAATATAGACCATTTTGATCATTCTTCACTAAAACCTGCAAACTTTTCGTCTTCATATAAACAAACCATCAGATGCAGCTGATTTTATCGTCAATGAACGAGTAACAAACAATGCAAAGGCGATGAAGACAATATTTTTTGCACACTGTGGAATGAAACTCCGACGCTGCTGGTCCCAAGTCCGGATGAGGAGGAGGGTAGGAGAACAGGAGAAATTTCTGTAAAACAGCTACCTGCCCTTTACTGTATTGTCGTAATCGGATTACCAAAAGTCGCACAGGCTGTTGAGAAACTGAGGTAGGCTGCGAAAATTCGGCGATCAGAACCTGCTCTCATCTACTTTTGGTAGTCGAGGGGTACCAACACGGCAACGGCAACCGAAGATCTACCAATCGATGACGAAGATAAAAATCAACAACGGAGTCGCTATCCGTCCTGACCAGACGAAGCAGATAGCGCGATGCCATTATAACACGTCAGAAAACGCTTCACGAGAACAACACCGCAAGTAGGAGCTTACAGCCAGCGAAGCACCAAGGATCTGGAATCCTGAACCTCTTCGGGTGGAAGCTATTCTACTCAGGTGTCGACATCACGACGCGGATCAGGGAGGTGTTGGTGAACTCGCAAAATCCAACCTGGATGAGAGAAACACTGAACAGAAGCCCATCAGCAGGAGGGAGGCAATCCTCCCACTGAAGCTACAACAAGCTAAAGTGCTTACCTATGCGCCTAATATGAAGAGATAATATGAGTCCTTACTTGAGGAAATGGAGTGTGCCCGGTACGAACAACCGATTACGGAATTCCGTTATCCTAATGGGCGATTTTATTGCGCGTGTCGCAGCTGTAATTGAAAAGTGGAAAGGCGTGATTGGAAAAAATGGCCTTAGCGACTTCAACAAAATAACTTGTGCACAGAAGTCGATGATCGATCTGATAATCGTATCGTCTGGCTTCCGAAGCTCTATAACTTACGATGTTAAGAGAGACAGATACCTGTCAACCGATCACTGTCTTACGATGGCACGCTACGCAGTGAAAAATGGAGTGCGATGTGATGAAGTGGTGGCCAAAACAACTGGAGAATCAATTTGAATAGATTATCGCCGGAGGACACCAGAGCGAAACTTGCGAACAACGTCGCACAACGGTTTGAACAGATCCCGGCGATGACAACTAATGTGGAAAACAAGTAGCAGCTTGTTAAGAGCGGCGCGTACTCGAGGCTGCCGCCGAATGCTGCAGATTTAAACGGGTTGGCCTACCACCTGGAGGTCAGAAAGAACTTCCTGTTGGGCACGAGAGGTATAAATGGCAGTTAAAGAGAAGACCGCATTCAAGAAGTGGCTTGGAAGCAAAGATCCTTCTACTCGCATGCGATATGTCGAAGCGCGCAAGGAGGCAGCGAAACCAGTGGCGAAAGCCAAAGCTGATTCCTGAGAGAAGTTCGGTAAGGTGTATGAGTCGAATTTCTAGAAGGCTAAGAAGACATTCTGGTAGACATGAGGGACAGGTCTGGACACCCTCTTATCGAGGATGAGGGCATTCTTTAGCGATGGAGACAGTACTTTGACGAATTCCTCAACTACGAGCAACCGTAAGAAGACTCCCTGTAGAGCAGCATGGAACAGATATGAGTATTTCTGTAGATGAAATCACACAAGCCCTGAGAAGCTTGAAAAGTAGAAATACTGGTAGGATTGATGAAATCCGCCATGAAATGCGCAAAGCAATGGGTGAACAAGGTATTTGCTGAATTTTACGTGTCTGTCAAACTACTATGGCTACGGAGACGACACCAGCTGGCTGGAGAAAGACAGCTGTTGTCCCCTGTTCAAGAAAGAAGATATACGGAGTGCTTCAATTAACGGAACCTTACCTTATTGAGCCTTCAGAGAAAAGTCTACGCAAAAGTGCTGGAAAGGAGGTGCCGCAGAATGACTGATTCAAAGATACAAAAAGATCCGTGTCGCTTCGGGCTCAGGCAAACCACACCTGACCATATATTCGCCTTACGTAAGACTGATGTGAGATGGTGGAAGTTCGCTGATTCGGTGTAGATGCGCTTTCTTGATTGCGCTAAGCAACTGCTTTTTGTCCAGATGACCGCAGAACGTGTAGCGGATAGCCAAGATTAGCCTGGTGCAAATATATGGAAGGAGCTTGCTCCCCTCAGGACTCCAGTTGTCCGCTGCCGAATCTCAGACTCTGGCACAGGATCGGAAACGTTGCAAGCACTGTCTGACGCGTCTGCTTACGCGACCAGAAAAAATAAGCGGTTATGGAAGATGAAGATGATACTGTGGAATGATCCTAAAGTGCAAATATGATCAACGAATTATTGATACCTACAGGAATTCATGCTTACAGATTTTGATGTAATTCATTCAGTCTTGGTTTTCCCCCAAAAACCACCTATGTTCTTTTTCAAGGTTCATGAGAAGTCCTCACAATTTTCTGCTGAGACAGTTCCATGATAGTATCAAGAGGTTTCTTTAATTTTCTGATCCTTTCGCACCATATCCTTTGCATAGTTTACCAGGAAATGATATAACCCTCTTAAACGCATATTCAATTAGTGCGGAGTTTCTTTTGCACCTCTGTTTCTTTCCGTTAGTTCTTTTGCATATTTTCTTCTACACCGTTTTGGATCTTGCCCACGCTCAGCACTGCTCCATCTTATGAGGTACGCATAATGATCTTTTTCAATCATTTGGAGATTTGTTCATATAAATCGGGAATATAAGGAATGGCAATGCAATTATTGCAATTAACTTCAAATGCATGGACGAAATCGAGATTATAGAGAAGAGCATTAAATACATTATCCTTTTTTAAAACGTGATGTAGGGATGTCAGATCTAACCAAAACGACGCCGATCAATGTTGGAGTACTTAAGCAGCCTCAAACGCACGCACTTTACACTATTACCAAACGCCACGTGGAGGTACATGAACAGGGATTCAAGTACCGAGAGGGGTGTCATGGCTTCCTATGAACCGAAAGTGTAAAGAATACAAGTATATAATGTAAGTTGATTGAAACAATGAAAAAATGTAACCTGCTCTTGTTCCTACGCTTACAGTGCGCTAAGACTGTTTGTTCTAAAGTAGTCATGTGGTTTCGGTCTCGACATGTTGAGACATCAAGCTTCTATTTCTTGGCCAGAAATCATATTGTACACAGTGGATCGCGATCTTCCATCGCAGAGAGGTAGGCACTTCAGCAACTCGGGAAACGTGTGCGGTGACACAACGTATATAAATATGTTCATCATTTCTGCTATATACAAATCTATTTTAGTCTATAAAAGCACGCTAACACTTATATATTAGTATCGATATTTACAGAATGCAATTACGCTCAAAATTCCATAATTCCACAAAGTGTTCTATTCCCAAGTCTAAATCAAATCTTGGACATTAAGCTGGACTTGGAACGCAATTCATTTATGAGAATCGAAACAGATTTGTATATATAACCGTCCAGAGTGGTATTCCATCCATACCGGTATGGACTGAAACTGATTTGCGGCATGGTCCAAGACCGAATTACCACTGCATGGTAATATATACTGATGACGCGTTACGATTTCGCTATGATGCACGCTATTTACGCATCTCTGTGATGAGCGGTCTACATACATAGGACGTTTCAAACTACTCTACCAAGAGATCTGACCTGCAGAAGCTTAACACCTGCAAAATGAAAATACGTGTCCCCTGTTGGAACGTGCGAACGTTAAACATTGATGGCAAAATAGACGTCGCTCGCCTCGCGGCACGATATAAGTGACCGACCTACGAGGGCACAGACATCAGCGGCTTGAAGAAGGATGGCAGATCTACTAATCTGGCAACCAGGACTATCGTCGAGAGGTATGAGTTACAGTTCTGCTGTCAATCTTATCTCCGAAGACTACATTGTCCGTCGAAAATACAAACGACTGTCATCGTTTGCTGATTCGTAACGAGATACTGTAAGAAAGACTTAGCCATGAACTGTACCTTGCGGAGGACCAAAGAAGAGTCACTTCAATGGCTGTCGCCCTGTGGTTCATGGTTCGTTCTCACGACATCAATTACGGATCGTCGCCGATGACCTCAACTCTAAGGTCAGAACTGAACATGACAGGAAGCACTGCGAGTTAGGTTGACGTAGCAACGGTGGACCTTTTCGACGCTTAAGGACTTCCCATCGACGGAACGCTGATGGCTCGCATCGTCGCATCTATCAGCAGAAGTGCACAGTACCAAGTGGCCATTACAGAAGCCAAAATCGATTCCTTCTCAGGTGCGGGCATCCGAACTGTCTATTTCTAAGTAGTCGCTAAGCTCCGCCTTATTCTGGCATTATCTGATGGAACATCCCGGAAAGAGGAAGTTGAAGGATCCTGTCAATCGCGAGGCATCCAAAATAGATATCGGCAGCAAATCTGTAGAGCCATGCAAGATGTCACCATCTCCCAAGACCCGGAACTGATTTACAGCAGCCTTAAAGAAGCGGCACAGTCAACGCACTGCTAAGGCTATTGGCTTAATTAGCAAGAAGACGATGCAGCCATGGGAAACGACAGAAACTTTGTCTTCAGCAGGAAAGAAATGCATCTCTGATGAGAATAAGAAGACAAAACAACGCTTTCTCTTGAAGTTGATCAACAAGAGTCATCGCAAGTACACCCAACAATGGCTAAACGGGCAGACATCATAAATCTGGGTTATTCTGTTAACCTCAGATGACAATAATAAAACATTTCATAAATTAGAAACGTATTCATATACGTTAATTTTTGACTGCGCAATTCTGATGGCCCACCAGATAACTGAACAAAACGTTTCATTATGCTTCAGCTACCATAAAATTACTACGCACCCAACACTCCAACGTCGATGGTCCGTAGCTGCTGTTCGATATCTTCGTATTTCTTGGCGTCGGCAACGCTGAAGTCTACAACCAGCGATCGAATTTCACAGTTGGGGGCGACTTTCTCTAAATTTTTCGCTAAAAGGCACCGCCCAACAAACATACAAATTCAGCCTCACCTATTTCGCCTGTAGTGGACGCCAGCTTCTCGAGATTGCGACCAAGGAGGTAGACGTTCAGGCCTCTCTTGGCTAACTCTTTAGCGTAGCTCTTTCCAATGCCGTCTGTTGCGCCAGTGACAACTACATAAATCAGTAAATTAAAAAACATACATAAGAAACATGATCAAATTCTTTCAAACATTTTACAAAGAACAGTGGAATGCAGAGACGAGTCCTAAAGAATGAAATGCCCTAGGCTGATTTACCCCATATAATGCTCATTAACCGGCAGATTTGACAACAGATGGTCGGTCAGCTGCTAACAGTGACTTGTCCAAAAATTGTACATTATGCTACCGGGGCAATGGAAGTGCCAAATGATCGTGAATTTCAACCAAAACATCAGTTCCCAAGGTACAGTTACAGCTTACCCTCATTTAAGATGCTCATATTGATGTTAAAATTACAATGAAGAAAGCTTGGCTGTAACAGATCATAAAACTACTCTTCGTTAGACCATCAAAGAAACTATACCGTTATAAGAGGACAGGATTAACAATGTCCGTTTTCAGCCAATAAATTTAATAATTTTTTTCTACAGTAATAACTGTTCCATGCAGTCAACAGTAACAAAATCAAGCTCTTCATGGAGCTGTATTCCATGCCCAGTATACCATCAAATGCTCCTGCAAAAAAAAGCAATGGGAGTACCGATTTAATAATAAAATATACTCATAAAGGTCAAGGAGGCTTGATAAATTATTCAAATTTTGTACATTGCGGAAGAATAGCTGCCAGTTTTAATAACCGATATACTTAAAACATCACTGACAATCACTGAAGCATTAAAAAGTGTGCTCTGTCTGAAGTACCGAATACAGGGTCCCTCATATTGATGGGCGATTTTAATGCGCACGTCGGAGTATACGTTGAAAAGTGGAACGGCGTGATT